CACAAGAATAATGATTTCCATGCTTTCCCTCAGATGCATCCTCACCTGGAGCCTGGTGCTGCTCTGATGAAGTACCTCTTGCTTCACAAATTCTAAGTAAATTCTAAATAAACAGATCTGCACCACTTTCAATGCTCTCCATAGGATCTGGCAACACGGTTGCATTACCTCAAAGCAGAGCAGGAATTTCCCTATGCCTCTATCATTTTCTCCATGGAAATTAAGCCACCCTACACAAGAGCAATCCCTAGTGAGACACCAGTGACCAGACACAAGAAAACTGAGGGGCAGACAGCCCACAGGCACCACTCGGCCTCCACTTAGAGGTCCAAGAACCAAAGACAAAATCACAGACATTTCTCTACACTGTAGTAAGTAATACCTGGTTAACGAACAACCCTAGAAAACAAAGTGTTCTCTTTTCCAAAAGCTCTTCTTTCCCACTTACCTGTCCCCCATTATTAATACAGTCTGAACGACATGACTTTGAACTCCAATATATACCACTGCACAGTGGCTACAATTTCAAAGTCTTTGGTCCAAAAATTAAGCCAGTAAACTATTCGAGATCAGGAACTGTATTTTATTCTTTTATACATGAACATTTTCTAGGTTCATTTCATGTTCATAATAGATGCTCAATAAATCCTTAACTAAGGAAATCAGAAAAGCTATTAGTAAATTTATTGGACACTTCAATAAAGAGTATATTTTACTGGTGTTTTCTATACAAATATATTCTCTTATTTCAAAAAGGTTTTAACGTCATTTCACTAGTATAAAACACAATAAAGGACAAATAAATATAGACCTTTTGTTCAAACTACATAGTTTGAGAAAAGAAAAAAAAAATCAACTTGGGGGGAAAACTTTGCTCCAGGAGGTAACATCATAATGACTTTACATGCTTGGATAACCTATAATGAACAGTTCAGATAAATCACACCTAGGTTCTAATATTTTAACTACTGGTAAGGGTATGTACTGTATCAGATTATAACACTGAGCAAATATGTTCTTTTAAACTCATTTGGCTGTCATGAGCATTCATGCAAAGAGCATTTATTAAACTTTGTGTAGTTGGCACAACATATCTTGGGGGAAGAAAGTCTCCAGACATCTTGACCTTGCAGTTGAGATAACATCTTACAAGGAAAGAAAGCTATTCATGTACAAAACAGTTCAGCACATAATATAATATAAAGCCAATTATCCAAGACAGACCTCAAGAACAAAAATTTAAAAGCATCACTATGGATGTGGTGGTGGGTTTGGCATGATCCTGGAGTTTTTTAACTGAGCTATATCTCTAGGCTGTTTTTTTTTTTTTTTTTTTCCTTTCCTTTTTTAAGACAGGTTCTCACCTGTGAACTTGAGATACTCCTGCGTTAGCCTCTGAGAGTACTGGGATTACAGGCATAACCTTACAATCAGCTGTTAGTGTTTTCTACAAACTATCTGAAATTTATAGCCATCTGAATTTAGTCTTTTACCATGTAGATCCCAGGATTTGGAACATTCATCACTGGATCTGTAGGCACCTCAGAGATGATAATGGGCCCAGATTTTGAAGCCTGGTTTTGAAGTCTTAGCCCTCTTCTGTGTCAAGTTTTGAAACCCTGAGCATGTTATTCCTGAATATTTTTATTCCTTCTTCTGTAAGATTGAGATAATACAAATGCTACAGAGTGACATCCGAAATACCACATAAGGAATGATGCTGAGTACAAGGTTAAGTCTCAAGTTGTCATTGTTATGTAATAAATATAAACTGTTAAGAACAGAATGGTGCTACTTAGGTGAAATGGGGTAAAATAAATGAGGTTTGAAGACTATTCAGAGTGAACCTCTTCTTTAAATCATTTAGTTCTCAATACATTGTTTTATGTCATGCAGATCAAATTTATTTCATCTACCATGCTCAGTATCAAATCTACTTTCCAGCTCGGCATGGTGGCTCAAGCCTATAATACCAGCACTTGGAAAGCTGAGGCAGGAGGATTGCCAGGAGTTTGAGCCAGGGCTATACAGCGAGATACTGTCAAAAAACAAAGAAAGAAATGTACTTGCCATATCATTAATTTTTCTTTTAAAAAAAAAATCTCTTTTAACAAGATCAGCTTTCACTTGTGCTGAAAACTGTACCATAACACACCTGGAAAAAAGTAGGATCCTATCTAGTCGGAGAAAAAAGGCCTGGCAGTAAACAGATTACTTCAGTTTTGCTAAAAAGAACCCTCAGCAAAGTCTGGTTTCCTGATAGGCTATTGCTTCGTCTCCTTTCATATTAATCAGGGTTAAGCACCAGCCTGCCACTCATCTGCAGAGGCCTCCCTACACCCGAGGATCGGTCCAAATTGGTCTGCACAGCCCTGGTTTCTATGGGGGTGCTTCTCAAGTTTCAGCGCGTCTAATTATGTCTCATGATGTTTACCGTGATTCAGGAGATGCGGGGAGTAGCCTGCAGGTCTAATGAGTGTCCTGATGATGGTGTGCTAGATCACACCTAAAAGCAGCAGAGGACTACTGGGCAGGGTAATCAGAGCTCACAAACCAAGGACACAGCGTTCCACAAATCGTGGGCCTCAAAAACAAAATAAAGGCAGCAACTTGCAGCTGACTCTGTTTTGAAGACATCAATAAGTTATATAAATAGTATAAACCAATGCTGATTTCCATAAGGAAAATGACTTAAATATAAAATAAAACTAAATTTAACATGCACAGGGACCGTTACCACTTTCTCAAGCCGAAAATATCCTCTCCATCCCCCAAACTCAATGTCTTTATGCTTTCTTTTCTTTGATATAACACATCATCTTTGCTAGATCATGAGCTTCCTTTAGCTATTGAAAACACACGCCAAAAAAATGCTGGTGTCTCTGGTTGAGATAGGCTAAGAGAGATACCACACTGCTTTAAGAAATCTGGAAAAGTTGGCAGTAACAGTATAACAAAATAATCAACACCCAGGATTTTTGAAAGGCTGATGTACGTTCTGTAATCGTCACTTATTTATGTGAAGTCTGACCTTTAGGACTGAATAAGTGAGCAAACCATCTCAGGGACACTTTTCATGTTACATTAGAGGCTTCATACAGCAGTTGACGCTGGGGATTTAGCTCAGCGGCATAAGCACCTGCCTTGCAAGCAGGCAGTCGTGAGTTTGATCCCTGGTACCGATAAAAAGGAAAAAGACAAAACAAACAAACAAAAAACCAACGTGTTCCAAGAAACCAGAAAGCGCTGTGGGCGTGTGGGTGAAACACAGAGCTAGAACCAGGCAAGCAACCCTGCTACCCACCACCAGGTCATTTCCGCAGCTGGGTGATCTTGCTCATGCAGTTAGCCCTCAAAAGTATTCCAAATAAACATACTATTTCATTCTCTACTAACTCAATTCTGATCTAGTATTCACCCCCATGTTTTCTAAGGAGGAGCTGTTCTTGAGCTTTAGAAGTAGCTGCTGATTCACCTAAGTCAGAGGTGGCAAACCAACTGCACACATGCCACAGCAGACTGTACATATCGAGGACTCTAAAAGTTTCCCTATCACAGACCTAAGTGATTGCTGTCACACATTGCCAAAGACAGACTTAAAAGCACAAGCATGAAATGTAACTGGTAGCATTTTGGTTTTGGTACCTTGGATCTAACTCATGACCTCGCACTTGCCAGGCAGACACTTGTGCCACTGAGCTAAACTCCCAGTCCTGATGGCACTTTTATACCACTAAACTAACCAGCTTGGGAATCACTTTAATCTGAGTCTTTGAGGACAGACAAGACTTGCTTTGAAACTCACCAAATTTAGTCCCTGACTCATTTTGACCTGAAAATTGGCCTCTGCATTCATTTGTTTGGTGCTCCAAAAGCAAGCTCAAACTTACTGGTAGCTTGTTACCCTTTATAGTCAAAACAATTTGGTACTTGTCAAAACTAATTTAGGACAAACACCAAGGGACCATCAAATGTGGAATATGGTTTCTTACAGCCAAAAACATTATGACTGATCCACTGTCTATGACATAATGGGTGGTAAATGTCCTCCTTACTGTTATTCAAGTTATTTCAAGTTCATTTGTGGGATTTGCTACGTATGCTACCTCATTCTAGCCAATAGCTAACCTGGTACTACAGTAGTAATTCTCAGCGACAGTCTGGCATATGTGATCCCAGAAGCTCACCTAGTACATTTACAAAGTAGGCAGTTAAAAATACGTAAGGGCACAGGTCTCCTCTATCCAAGAGAAGCCAAGAATTCAATGACTGAATAAAGCAATTCAATCCTCACACCTCACAAAAGTTGCAAGTATGAAAGCTTTCTCCTTCGGGGAAATAAGAACCACCTGTTCTTAACTCCTGATGGGTATGGGAACTACCTACGGAGCAGTTTAAGTCTAGATTTTGTATCCCTGTCCACCTTTGGTCTTCACCAAGAGCTCAGGTGACTGACATAAAAGCACCCAGGTGGCTCCACGGTTCACATTTTCCGAAAGACCATTTGTTTTCCCAAAGTCTGAAATCCTGTTTTCATTCAACACAGCAATGTCATCCACCCACAATCTCCCATGTCATTGACCCTTCCACCAGAGGCCATGACCCTGTGTGATACACTCTGTCCTGACACAAGGTCAAGAGACAGCCAAATGCCAAGTATTTCCTTGTTGACTTTCTATTTACAAAACAAAACGCACAAGCAAAAACAGCCATTTGTCTTGGCTATTCCCTGCCATTTACACTCACAGTCCAATCCAGTCACAGTCAACGTGCACTCCCAAGTACTTCAGGGAGCGTTAAACGGGATCAGGAACTGTGGACACATCCGGGAGGTGCAAACTCGGTAGCCTGACATTGCGCGGGGCCGGAACACACGTTTGCTCCCAAAGGAGAATGAGCTCCGCACATTCCAGCACAAACGCGGCTCCCACTCGCCGAGCGGCGCGTCCCCAAATCCCCCTTCGCAGCGCTATCTTCCAGTCCAGTCTGGGCGCGCTTACCTGAAGCACGTGGTGAGCTCGCCCGAGGGCTTCAGGCACGGGTATTTCGTAGTCGCGATTTTGTTTTCCGAGCAGATTTCTCTACGAAAAAGTTGAAGAGCAGAGGCTGAGGATGGTGAACGGGGGCAAAAAGCAGTGTGCGTCCCGGCATCTGAGTCTGAGCGCGCCGGGCAGGCGCTGCTTTCCGTGCGCGTATGCAGAGCGGATTCGGACAGGACAAGCCAGGACAGCAGGGTCCCAGCAGAGCGAACTCAGCCCCAGATGAAAGGCTGAGGCAGCCACGCGAAGGGTACCACAGCACCCCACCCACAGATAGGGAAAGCCCGGTCAAGAACGAGGAGGCTGTTACCCAAGACACAGAAGTCGCCGGGTACAGCTGAGCTGCAGCCTGTGCGCGGCGGGAGGAGCGAGGGCGCGCGATCGCTGCGGAGGTGGGCACTGGGGGCACCGCCTGCACCCCGCCAGCCGGGCGCACGCCAGCTCACCCTCCACTGGGGCTGGCGACGCTTACCTGTCGGCGTCCTCGGGCTCCTCCCTGTAGGTCCACGAGTGTCCCAGCGCCAGGAGCAACAGTAGCGGACCCAGGCTTCTGCACAGTTGCCCCCCGGCCGCTCCTCCCCGGCTCGAAGGAGGCGGCGGCACCATCAGGGTAGCTCCGGCTTCTCCTCGCGCCCGAGCTCGCTCACCCCGCCCTGAGCTCTGCTTCCCCGCCGCGGCCGCCGCCGTCCCTCTCCCCGGAAGGGGGCGCCGGAGAGCAGGGGCGCTTGCGCCACCTGCGCGCGTCTCAGGGGCTCGGGACGCGGAGCGGCCGGGGCTGGGTGCGGTGGAGGATCCGGCTAACCCGAGTCGGATGCTGACTGCAAACTCCGCACCGAGGCAGGTACGCGTGGTTCTCGCCCGGCGCGAGGATCCGGGACCCGCGGCGCTCCCGCTGAACTGACGCACTGGTTCCCCCAGGCTCGGGCTGTCCTCAGTCGTCCCTCTTCCTTCTCGGAGAGGAGCGCAGGGTGTGGTGAGCAGGCGTTGTTTGCAGTTGTACTAGGGTCGCACGCCTAGGAGAGGGAGGAGCCGGTTCTCACCGCGGGAGGGGGAGGGGAGGCGAGGGGTGGAATAGGCTTCTTTCCTGTTGTCTGTTCATTTCCAAAGCCCAAGGCCAAGCCCAAGTTTGCGTTTTCCTAGTGCGAACCTACACCGCGCTTCTCAGTGATCACAGGTTTTATTTTTGCCCTCGGAATATGGAAAGAAGGAAGGAGTTGAGAGGCTACAGAGGACTTCCCAAATCGCTTTTTGCAAACCTGATGCAACCCTACCAATAAAATGTAGTCTTCATTAAAATTCCTCCGGTCGTTTCATTTGTATACAGACTGTGCCACGGTTTTCGTAACTCAAGTTCGAGACAAGCAAGGAAGCTTCACAGGTGGCTCTGGGAGTTTTACATCCTCTTGCCCAGAGTTGCTTTTCTGTTTTTCCCCTTACCCGTAGCTTGAGGGCTGGAAGCGCCTTGCATCAGCCGGGAGGGCTAGGGACAGAGGGAGGGTTCCTTACTTGCAGATCCTGCTCCTTCCAGGTCTATGAGGCCTTGCTTGTCTGTAGTCTGTAAAAGCGGGGTAGGAGGCGATTGTAATTCATATAAATTGCCATTGTAACACTGCTACACGCTAGGAGTCTTATTTGTTTGTCAAAGAGAAGTGAGGTAGACTGCACCACAGAGTTAACTAAGAGAATGCAGCCCATTAAATAGTTTGAAAGCATGAAGTTTGACATTAATGCTCAACTCTAACATCGATGTTATGTGTCCTAGGAAAAGGTGAGATTGCAGTGTGTTCACAAATCACCCGTATGCACACTGGTTAGACAACTGTTTTTATCGACACAGTATTTTGGCCAACTAAAAATTATTCCACACATCACATATACAGTGACATTTTTACAGCAATGATGTCCGCATTCTTCTGTAGAATATTTCATATTTTTCAAAGGTCATCCATATTTATGATTTTTTTAATTTAATTCTCAAAATATCCCTTGGACCTAAGTATCTCATTTCTTAATTCAGGGAGGAGGTTTTTTCCTACAAAACTTACATAGAGATGAAAGACATAGGGCACACTTGATATTAAAATATAGTGCTGCTACAAAACCTCATTTTCAAACGGTAACTCAGCAGACCCTTCAGAATCTTATAGAACTTCATAGTAACCCATTATGGAATCAGGAAGGAAAACAAAAAAACCCCTGCTTTCAAACCCAGGTGTGATGAGTTTGTAGGTGAATCAGTGCCAGCAGAGAGTAACTTTCTGAAATTCAGTTTGCTCACCTGTAAAATTTTTGGGGCTCTGCCTCAAAAATTTTGTAAATATCAAATGAAGTAATACATAGAAAGCAGTTGTGCACAGTGCCCAGCATACATCAAGTGCTCAGTAGACATTAACTCATTACTTTAATGTAAACTATTGCATACATAGAAATTTAGGTTTTAGGTTTCTTAGCTTTCTAGCTTTTTACTATGTAGATATATAGGAGGAGTCTGTGTAGGTTCCTAAAGAGAGGCCTCCCTAAGCATATGAAAAATAAACCCCTCCTGAAGCTTATGAAAAATGCATTACTTTAAATTGTCATAACAGTCTTTGATCTCATCTTGGAAGGAAGAGCCATCCTGCAAGCAGGAGGTTCCATTTTTATTCCTTCCAGTTCCTCTATTTTGGAATAACTTGCATCCCTCTTAATCTCATCTTGTTTTCCTACTATAGTGTGTCTGTTCTACAAAGAATAGAGCATGATGTTGGAGAGTAGTTGTTGGCTTCATTATATGGCACTTAGTAAGGCATGTGTTTGGACATGCAGATTTTCAAGAAAAGTAATGCAAGCTGCAAAATGATAGAAGCAGAACCACATCCATAATACGCAGCTGTGTGGCATAAAATTGCTGAGAAGCCTGCTTTGCTGTCTTCTTATTGTTAGTCCCCTACACTGAGTATCTGCAAGGATGAACACTTGGGAAATTGCCAGGCTAAGAAAACAGGCCAGATTTGACTAGGGAGGAATCTCATGGGTGGGTGGGTGGTCAGAGCATTTCTGCAGGGGGTGAGCTACATCTAAGACCTTTTGAAAAACTGTAGCCTGCACGCCTGGAATTTCAACTGGTTCTCAGCAACTGATAGCAGACATTTATGCTGAGTGTGGGGGCTGGGCAGGACAGTACGGTTAGGTGAAGGACATGAGGATGGCCATTTATGGACACTGGGGACTGAAGAGTTAAACCACTCTGCAAAAGACAAACCTGCTTTTGCTTAGGTTGTAGCCTGCTGGGAGATACCAGTGCTAACGCTGTGTGTGGTGGGAACCTCAAGAGTTTTAGCTTTTCTTGTTCTGAGCTCATTCTCTGCACAACTCTGGTCCACCACAGACCTGCTCCTGATGTTCTTCCCCATTCTCTCATGTATGGACCACTAGACTAGCATGAGAGAGCTTGTCCCTTTTTTTCTTTCGTAGGAGTGTTGCAAAGATTAATGATCCGGAGCTAAATGCTCCTGAAGGGAGGCCTTGTGTGATTATTTCTTTTCAGCATACCACTCAGCAATGTTTTCCATAAAGAGCTGTCAGCTATCCTAAAACAAACCAGAGAGTGGATAGTTACACAATTTACCATGTCCTAGGGGCTCGGGGCTGTGCCTGGGGCTGCGTAGTGCAGTGTGTGCTAGAGGTTAGCTCCCTGGTGGAACAGGTATTACTAGGCAGTACTGCTAGTGTTTTCTGGGAGTCAGTGAGATTGGAGAATAGAGGCCAACGTTCAAAAACAAAGAGAGGGATGAGGGCGTAGCTCAGTAGTGGAGTTTGTTTGCAGCAAGCACTAAGCTCTGGGTTGATCTCCAGCACCACAAGAAGCGGGTGAGGGTGGAGGGGGAAAAGGAGAGAAAAAGAAAGAAGAAAAGTGAAAGAAAAACAGGATAGTAAAAATTAGACCTGCCATGGTACTCACTTTTAAGGACTTCCAAAGTCTTATTTTATCTGCATGGAATTAGGGAAGAAAGATAAGTTATACTACTATAAAGAACAGACCACCCCATTTAGGATGTTTTGATTCCCTATTTGTTTACATTTTTTCTTCATGATTTGTGGCTCACAAAAATATGCTATTTTATAGTGTGTGTTTAATATCGGATAAAATGACATAAAGCAGTTATGACAAAGGAAAAATCAGTTGAATAAAAAAAAAACTGAAGTAAAGTTAATATTGAAAAACACTTTATAAGCAGAAAGTCATGTATACATTTAAAGCAGATCACAAGTCACTTCTCAGATTCTCAAAAGTCAATTCAGGATAATTACACAATCAGTTATAAGAGTTAAGTTGATCGTAAAGGAAAGGCCTAAAACTTGCTTTTTTAAAATGACAGTTTCTTGCTGGTTTCCCTGAAATGTAGAAACAGTCACATAACTGTAAAGTGTTTTTCATAAAAACATAATTCAACAAAAGTGAGTAAAGTTAATGCAGTACTGAGAGGGATCAAGATAAGCTACTACTAAAATAAGTAGGAAGCGCTAATAACTTCCCTTCAGTTTTGAGTAATATACAGCCAGGTCTGCTTAGAGAAATAGGGTTGCATCTTTAAAACTGCTGCACTACACTAGTTTCCAAACCATTCTAAGGAGTTGCTTGAGGCAAAAGGAGTCAAAATATTTTAATACAGTGACTTTAAAGCCCTGATTTTGGGGAGGGGCTATCCATTACCTCCACACAAAACTAGTAAAGTACAAGTTCTAAAAGTTTCCCAAAGCTGTAGATCTCTGGAATTTTCTCTCCAAACACACAAAAAATGTCAGATTTCTGTGTCTATCATGGAATCTCACAGTTGCCCAATTTTGAAGTAGAAGCAACTGTAAAAGATTAGCTGGACTTACATGTAGATAGACCACTTTATTATCTGTGAATAATATGAGCAATGATCTAAATTATATGTCAAAAGCATATTAAGTGTCCATACTAACAAAGCATGCAAACTTACTGTAGGTAGATAGCTAGACTTCTGGGAAGATGGCAGAGAAAGAGCCTCTTCAAGATTTGGTGTCCAGACACTGGCATACAGCAACCTTTCAGGGAGAAGAAGGGGGAGGTTGGCCTCCAGGATCTGAAGCGACGGTGGTGGTGGTGGTGGTGGTGGTGTCCTGTTCTTATTTTCTTTCTTTCTTCTCTCTTTCCCTGCTGTCTCTTCACCAGTTTCCCAAAGTTTATGTGATCATCATTTGTCCACCGGCTTTGCTTCTAATCTCTTCCTCTCCTATTTCTCTTATTTTTTCCCCTAATCCTTTTTATATTTTCTCTCCTGAGGGTAAAACACTACACTGAGCATATTTACTGCATACAATTTTGTGGTTCATTTTACATTGTTATATAACCACAAATCTAGTTCATACAGTTAAATGTGACAAATTAATAGTTATCTCAGTTTGACATTTTCTAGGATGTATTTGATGCTATTGTTACTACTAATTATACCACTTTAGCCAAAGTGGCATAATTGTTCTAACCAGTTGCTCTTCCTGGTATACCAAGACTGAGATCGCCTGAAGAACACCCTCGGCAGTGCCAAAGAATCAAGGATTGGGCTAAGTAGGCAGCAACTTCTCATCCCCAATAAACTGAAGAGGAAGGGTCTTGCAACAGATTCAAAACTCAAAATCCAGCTACACTTGGAGAACACCACTGAAATGGAGTATTTCCTCAGGGTTCTAAGCACTGGCAACAAAGCTGCTCGGCATAGGCAATTTACAAGCATCAAGCTAGGAATTAAACTTTAAAAAAAAAAAAGAAAATGAAAAGACACTTAAACAGGATGCAGTCCCAGACATCCAGGTCACCAAAGGCAAATCCAGTGCACAATAAAGTGCTCTCATGGGGCTGTGAGGGAAAAGAAACCTTTCTCCACTGCTGGTGGGAGTGTATACTGGTGTAGTCACTATGGAATTTAGTGCAGAGATTCCTCAAAAAACTAAGACTAGAGGTTCCATTTGCCCTAGCTATTCCTTCTTGTTATTTTTCCCAAAAGAAATAAAACATCATACCACAGCAATGTATGTACACGCTTGTTTATAGCAGCACAGTTTATAATAGCTAAACCTTGGAAACTGTCCAAATTCCATCAACTGATGATCGAATAAAAAAATGTAGTTCTTTTATACAATGGATTGCTACTCAGCCATAAAGAAGGATAATTTAGAGACATTTCCAGGTAAATGGATGCACCTTGATAACATATTCTTAGGCGAAACAAATCAGACACATATGTGTAAATACCACAATTTTTCAGGTGTAAAGAGAACAAAGGTGTAAGTGA